GGGTAGCCCCACGCCCGCACGAGCGCCCCCAGCTCCTCCTCTGCCTCGGCCTGCTCGAGGCATCCGCTCCTGCGGTCGTCTCCACCTCCGCCTCCGCGTCTGCCTCATAATCGCGACGCCGGCCCGGTCCCTTCGCCACGATCTCGAGATGCGCGCGCGCCCCCGCCTGGCTAGGCCCAGCGCCGCTAGAGCCTCGCACGTCCGCTAGGTAGCGTGCCACCGCCCGCGGGTCGATCTCGACGTCCTCGCCCGGGATCAGCCCGCGGACCGTGCGCGGGCTCTCCTCGCCCGGGACCAACCTGCGCCGAGCCTCTTCATTCCGGGCCTCCTCGGCTGCCTCATCCTCTCTGCGCTTGATCCTGATAGCCTGCGCCCGCAGCTCCGCCATCCTGGCCTCGCTGCTGGCCGCTAGGCTGGCCTCCTTGGCACCCCCCGGAAGCCCTGGCCCGGTTGAGCTCGCCGCTGACGCACCTACACCTCCCTCGTCCACGATGGTGACGCTCCTCCGGGGTGGGCTGCGCGATGACGTCCTCTCCCGGGGCATGGGCATCGGCAGCGGCTCCCTGGTCATCCGAAAGTCGGCTCCGCGCGTGGGCCGCGGCGGAGCAGACCGCACCTTCCGCTTAGGGCTCGGGGGGCGCCTGCTTCCCTCCGATGACCTCGACCTCTCCTGTTCCTCGATGGTGCTCGGCCCCCGCGCGGCATTCCCCCCCCTGCTGCGTGCGTCTTGGACCCGCGCCTTGAGGGCCTCATCAGCCTCCGTCAGGGCGCGCTCAGCCTCAGACAAGGCCCGCTGGTAGTCCCTGTCGATCTCCTCCAGCTCCGTAGTAGAGCGGCCCTCCACCCGCTCCGAGAGCCTCTTGCACATGCGCCCCACCGCCTCGCGCGCGTCGCTCCTGGCCCCCCTCCTACGGCCATCGCGGGCCGACGCCAAACCAGCCGATGCCTTCGCGCCTTCACCTTCGGAGTGCACTTCCTCCTTGACAGTCGACGGCGAAATCCTTGCAGTCAGCTTGATGCGCGCGTCCGGCTTGTTCTTGCGAGTGGCCTTATGCGCCACCTCGGCGTCCGCCTTGGCCCGGGCCTCCGCTTCTCTCCCCCTTCTCCTAAGCTCGCTCGGCGACGGGGGCGGGCACTCCGGCGACGACCCGCCGCTCCCCGAAGCAGCAGCGGGTGCAGCCACAGCGGCCGCAACAACAGTGGCAACATCGCCAGATGGGGCCCGCTTCTTCTTCCTCCGCCGATTCCGGCCGCCGCCTCCGCCACCTGCGCTCGGCTGTTGACCCTCGTTCTGGCCGTGGGGCACCTTCTCGCGGTACTTGTAGTGGTTGACGCCGCCCTCTGCCCAGTCCTGTCCGTTGTGCCGGCCGCCGCTTGTCGCAGCAGTAGCCCGGCTTCCAGAGCTCCCATGCTTCAGGTAGGGGCACCCTGGGTTAAGGCATGAGGCGAGCGTCCTAGCTCGAGCGTGCCCCCCCGCCTTGGCCTGCGTCACCTTGGGTCCTGCCGCCGCCGCGCCCGACGAGCTGGCTGCTCCGGGTGTAGGCGTGCCAGGGCCTTCCGCCGTCCACTTGCCCACACGCTCGTCGTTGTCCACTACGCCTGCCCGCCTGTCCGACCCGCTGGCTCCACTCCCCGCGCCGCTCTGCGCATGCCGAGCTTCACAGACCTGTCCGTGACTGAGTCCCAACGAGCACCAGCACGTCCTGCAGCAATAGAAGACAGGGGTCGACAGCTCCGGCAGCCTCCTTTCGCAGCCCCCCACATGGCAGACGCCCTCCTCCTCTGGGTTGATCCTGGCCTTCGGTGGAGCTCCCTATGAGCCCACGAAGCGCAGGCCTTGGTGTGGGGGGGAGGGGGAGGGGGGGGGGGGGAGCGCATGCAACCTGCGCCATTGGGGAGCTCCCCATGGAGCCACGAAACGTTGTCCTGGGCGGTGTGTGTGTGTGTGTGCGTGCGTGCGTGCGTGCGTGCGTGCGTGCGTGCGTGTGTGTGTGTGTGTGTGTGTGTGTGTGTGTGTGTGTGTGTGTGTGTGTGTGTGTGTGTGTGTGTGTGTGTGTGTGTGTGTGTGTGTGTGTGTGTGTGTGTGTGTGTGTGTGTGTGTGTGTGTGTGTGTGTGTGTGTGTGTGTGTGTGTGTGTGTGTGTGTGTGTGTGTGGTGTGTGTGTGTGTGGTGTGTGTGTGTGTGTGTGTGGGTGTGTGGTGTGTGTGTGTGGTGTGTGTGTGTGTGTGTGTGTGTGTGTGTGTGTGTGTGTGTGTGTGTGTGTGTGTGTGTGTGTGTGTGTGTGTGTGTGTGTGTGTGTGTGTGTGTGTGTGTGTGTGTGTGTGTGTGTGTGTGTGTGTGTGTGTGTGTGTGTGTTGTGTGTGTGTGTGTGTGTGTGTGTGTGTGTGTGTGTGTGTGTGTGTGTGGTGTGTGTGTGTGTGTGTGGTGTGTGTGTGTGTGTGTGTGTGTGTGTGTGTGTGTGTGTGTGTGTGTGTGTGTGTGTGTGTGTGTGTGTGTGTGTGTGTGTGTGTGTGTGTGTGTGTGTGTGTGTGTGTGTGTGTGTGTGTGTGTGTGTGTGTGTGTGTGTGTGTGTGTGTGTGTGTGTGTGTGTGTGTGTGTGTGTGTGTGTGTGTGTGTGTGTGTGTGTGTGTGTGTGTGTGTGTGTGTGTGTTGTGTGTGTGTGTGTGTGTGGGAGGGGGGGGGGGCGCATGCAACCTGCGCCACTGGGACCTTTCCATGGAGCTCCCCATGGGGCCACGAAACGCTGCCCTGGATGGGGAGGGGCGCGTGCACCCTGCGCCACCGGGACCTTCGGTGGAGCTCCCCATGGGGCCACGAAGCGCTGTCCTGGGGTGTGGAGCCCCGTACGGGGCCACGACACGCTGTGTCGTGTGTGTGTGTGTGCGTGTGTGCGTGTGTGCGTGTGTGCGAGTGTGAGTGTCTGTGTGTGAGTGGGGTGGGTGGGGGGGTGTGGGTGTGGGTGTGAGTGTGGGTGTGGGTGTGGTGGGTGGGTGTGCGTGTGCGCGCGTGTGTGTGTGTGCGTGTGTGTGTGTGTGTGAAAATGTGTGTGTGTGCGTGGGTGTGTGTGTGGTGCGTGTGTGTGTGTGTGTTTGTGTGTCTGCGGGGGGGGGGGAGGGGGGGGGGGGGCATGCAACCTGCGGCACGGTGGCTCCCTATGGGCCACGAAACGCTGTCTTGGGTTAGGGGGCGCATGCAACCTGCGCCACTGGACCTTCGGTGGAGCTCCCTACGGGGCCACGAAGCGCTGTCCTGGATGGGGGGGACGCATGCAACCTACGCCAGTGGGGTCTTCGGTGGGGCTCCCTATGGGGCCACGAAACGGTGTCCTGGGTGGTGGTGGGGGGACGCATGCAACCGGCGCTACTGGGACCTTCGGTGGAGCTCCCTGTGTAGCCACGAAGCGCGGTCCTGGATGGGGGGACGCATGCAATCTGCGCCACTGTGATCTTCGGTGGAGCTCCCCATGGGGCTACGAAGCGCTGTCCTGGTGGGGGGGGGGACGCATGCAACCTGCGCCACTGGGACATTCGGTGGAGCTCCCTATGGGGCCACGAAGCGCTGTCCTGGATGGGGAGGGACGCATGCAACCTGCGCCATTGGGACCTTCGGTGGAGCTCCCTGTGGGGCCACGAAGCGCTGTCCTGGGTTAGGGGGACGCATGCAAACTGCGCCATTGGGACCTTCGGTGGAGCTCCCTATGAGGCCACGAAGCGCTGTCCTGGATGGGGGGGGGGACGCATGCAGCCTGCGCCACTGGCATTTCGGTGGGGTTCCCTATGAGGCCACGACACGCTGCCCTGGGTGGGGGTGGCGCATGCAACCTGCGCCACTGGGACCTTCGGTGGAGCTCCCTATGGGGCCACGAAACGCTGTCCTGGGTGGGGGGACGCATACAACCTGCGCCACTGGGACCTTCGGTGGGGGCCCCCATGGGGCCACGAAACGCTGTCCTGGACGGGGGGGACGCATGCAACCTACGCCACTGGGACCTTCGGTGGAGCTCCCTATGGGGCCACGAAACGCTGTCCTGGATGGGGGGGGCGCATACAACCTGCGCCACTGGGACCTTCGGTGGAGCTCCCTATGGGGCTACGAAGCGCTGTACTGGGTGGGGGGGCGGGGGCGCATGCAACCTGCGCCACTGGGACCTCCGTGGTGGCATGGAGGGGGAGGAGGGAGGGGGCAGCGGGAGGAGAAGGAGGTGCGGGGCACCGTCTCTTCAACACGATGACCCAACACCACAGGATGGTTGGGAACAATGCTAATGTGCCTTTTCGTTCAGCCGACATCCAACGCCATCCTCTCCAGTATCCATCCAGCCGATGACCCATCTGGGGCCCGCTCAGCCGCTGGTCGGACCCCCGCAGCGGGGGCAGCTGCCGTCGCGATCGGGATCGGACGAAGTTTTCCAGTCTGTCCTCATCGAAAGGGAGGACCAGAACTCATATCTTGGACAGCTGGATGTTGCGGCAGGGCGAGCGTGAGCGCAGGCCATGCCCGCTTCGATTGGGTTCTTGATTATGCCAGCATCGGCTTGATCTGTTTGATTCGATCAATTATCTCGCTTCCCACTTCTGCCCTCAATACACCTCCATGTTCCGTCGACATAAGGTCCCAGCTTGACAGCTAGTGCACGCCGCTGGCAGGCGTCGTTGACGCGAGGGGGTGGAGGAGTCTTAAAAGGGAAGATCGGGAGGTAAGCCGCGCCCTGGTCATGGCTGAGGACAGGAACTCCGCAGACCAGCTCCCGAGTCGAGCGATGATGTTCCCGGGTGTTGTCCTGTCTTGGTCTTGTTCGCACGAGGAGGAGGAGGAGGGACGGGAGGATGGGGAGGATGATGTGGACGAGGGGGAGGGGCAAAATGAAACGGAAGGCACGGACGGGGAAGGGGATGATTACGCTCGGCGGGATATCATGGAAAGCGTTGGCCACGGCCCGTGGGCATCGACGAACAGTTCGTCGGAAGGAGTACCAAAAGACCAAAAGACACGCCCTTCAGGATGTGGCTCAACGAGACTGTGGGCCAATGACGGGGCCTGGGCCGCTGAGCAGGCGTCGTTTCAAGGTTAGATTAGTCATGTATTGTTACGAGATTCATGGCGTGAGTACGAGGCGGTACCGTGGTGTTTTGTTCATTTCAGAAGCACAGAGAATACAGATGACTCGGAGAAACATTCGTAAGAGGACATGCTGGTCTCAGGACTTCATAGGGTACGTCTGGCTTCGCCGATCTGACTGTAGCAAGCGAGCCGTTGGATGGCAGTCCTATCTCTGGGGAGGTTGAGGACATTTCGCGAGCAGTTTCAAACCTGGAGGTACGGACGGCAGGTTTAGGCCAGGGGGTGAGGATAACCCGTTGGCAGTTTTAGACGAAGGGGTTGTGAGGAGATGCCGTTGGCAGTTTTATAGGCCAAGGGGTTGAGGACATGTCGCTGGCAGTTTCATGTCAGAGGGTTTAGGATTTGTCGCTGCCAGTTTTAGGCCAGGGGGTGCGGATATGTCGCTGCCATGTTTAGCCCATAGTGGTGAATGCATGCCGATGGCAGTTTAGGCCAGGGGGAAGAGGGTATGCCGCCGCTTGATTGAGGCCAGGGGGTAGGGATGGCGTTTTTAGACCAGGGTTGTGAGGTCATTTTGTTGGCAGGTTTAGGCCTCGGGGTACCGGTAGTTCGTTGCCATTTCTAGGCCAGGGGAGTGAGGATATTTCGGTAGCAGTTCGAGGCCAGAGGACTAATGATATTTGGTTTGCAGTTCTAGGCTAGGGGAGGAGATAGCGCTGGCAGTATTAGAGCAGGGGGGTGAGGATTTGTCGCTTGCATTCTTAGGCCAGGTAGGTGGGGATGTTTCCATGGCAGTGTGCGGATATTTCGCTGCCAGTTTTGGGCTGTGTTGGGTGATTCGATTTCGGTGGCAGTTTTGGGCCAGAGGGAGAGGATATTCCAGTGGCAGTTGTAAGTTCCAGGGGGTGAGGCTATTTCACTAGCAGTTTTCAGCCAGGGGCGTGAGAAGAGTGGAGGAGGAGGACAAAGAGGAGGAGGAGGAGGAATGAGGAGGAGGAGGAGGAGGAGGAGGAGGAGGAAGGAGGAGGAGCAGAGATGAGGAGGAGGAGGAGGAGGAGGAGGTAGGAGGTGGGAGCTGGTGGGAGGAGGAGTTGTGCACCCTGACGCCGCATGATACAGTATTCGCTCCTCGCCGGGTAGGCCCAGCCCAGGGCTACACGTTCAGCGTGGTGCTGCGCACGTATCTCTGTTCGCCCCTTTGCGTACGGCTGGTCCGGGGAGAAACGGGCGAGATGTTTGGTGGCTTTAATGCTATGTCGCCTTGAGCATCTGATTTCGCAGGGGGCTTGACCACGCCATTAGTTAGAAGGCTGCCACTCGGACCTGAGAAGGTTCTTTCAATTTGATGTTTTAGTGGGGGTCCATGGGCATGGGCCGTGGGCCTCCTATCTTCTGACCGGGCACGCTGGCCCCGACGGAGTCGGCCAAGCGTTGGCTAGCCGCGTCCACGCGTAATTTTTGAATCGGAGTATCATCCATCTCTTGGTCTTTCTGCCCTGTACAGCGGCGCGGCGCTGCATAACTGCATACGGGCGTCAAGGTTGCCGTACCATCTGATTGCCATGCTCAGGGTGAGTACAGATCTCGAGCGCCAGCGCAAATGACGTACGCTCAAGTCAGGGGGCCGCCGTGATAGCAACGGGCTGAGGGATCGTGAGCCGCGTGATGATGGGCCAGTGTCGAAACAGGCCGAGCTTGAATGCTGAAGTGAGCCCGACACGCCCGGCCCAGGTCCAGCCCCCAGGGTTTCTCATAAAGACAGCCAAAGAGATCCCCAGAGAGCCCCAGGACAATGCTTCAAAGATATCTTAAAGCATTGTGGAAGTGTCGACTCTGCGCCACGGACCTGAGGTCTCTAGAAAGGCAACGCGACACAGCCGAGTAGCGCCTGGTCGTCCCCAGAAGCGCCCAGGAATTCCGTCCCGTCAGTTCCGAGCAAGGACTTGTCAAGAGCCGTGCGCTATCCAGTGTTGAGCATTCGAAGGAGCCTCAGGACACTCCACTCGGGCACGGCGGCGGATCTTAGAAGCAGTCTGATTCCGACGAGCGGGCCGAGAGTTGCAATGTTCCTAGGTCGGCCGTGCAATCTGCAAAAACTGGCGCGTCTCGTTGCAGTGTGGGTGGGATGATTTTGGTCGAGCAGTTTGAGAATGAAACCGCCCCCAAGGATTCGAGTAGAGGATGCGCACGTCGCCTGGCGGGGTAAATGATCGCTACAGTTATGCGGCAGTCACCATCGTTAAGTGTTTTTCTCAGATTCGTTAGCAGCCTCGGATGCGCGCGCCCAGGCATGTATATCTATGCGCCCCCAGTGCTGCTGTCGATGCTGGACGGTCTCGGCTTGCGGTCCAGACGGTCTTGCCATCTGAAGGTGGTTCGAGGCCGTCCCTGCGGCAGGGGAGCCCTTTCCCCGACGTAGGTTCGCCAGCCTGTTGTGAGTTGTAGGGCAGGACGCCTGACGATCTATCCAGTTGCCTGCGGCAGTCTCCACCGCCGTGCCAGTTCAGAATTGAACCGCATTCTGAACGGTTCTACCGAGCGGTCCTCAAAGGCTCGGTAGAGCTAGTTTAGGGCATTCTGCGGGGCGCGACCGTAACATTGCATGAACAAGGTGCCCTGGAGCTCTCTTCGGAGTCTTCTGAGAGCAAGCTCGGTGCCTTTTTACGGGACTTGGGACCGTTGGTTGTGTTGAGTGGGTCGGTGGAATTGTCTTAGGGTCGCCAGGTCAAGTCGTGGGGCTGTTTTGGGGCTGGGTTGGGGAGGTTTGGGGCCGTGTTGGTTGTTGCGGTGCCGTCTTTGAGCCTTGTTGGCGCCCTCTTGGATTGTATTGGATTATCTGAGGTATGTTGGATGCCATGCTCGGCAGAAACGTGCAAGTACGAATAATTCTAAACATCCATGTGTGTTTTGATATGCTTGGCCACCTGGAGCCTTGTTGGAGGGCTGCCTGCGCGCCGCCTGAGAGCCTTTGAAGGGACGCCTTCAGACAGCGTTCAGTCGATGGTCTGCTTTTAATGAGAAGCTGTACCAGACTGCCAACAGGAATGCCAACACACCCCAGCATGCCGAGGGCATGGTGGCAGATATGCATATCCATGCACGCGCGCGTAATTCATGGCAGCCACGCTGATGAGTGGACAAGCCGCGCTTCGAGATCCAGAGAAAAAGAACAGCGCAGCGCGGCAACGATGGTGCGATTCAGCTTGTACAGGGCACTGGTGGCACAGCCTTTACCGCAACATTGCACCTTGACTTTGCAATGTCGTAGGTGCATTCTGGGAACGTCGTAGTTCGTACGCACCTGACGACGACTGTGTTGGCGCGAAGATGCGATCCACTTGTTCTGATTCTGCAGCTCTGGCATGAGAGAGACAAATTATGAAGGGACTCCGCTCCACCTGCTCCGCCCTCGCCTCGACCCTCCCCCCCTCCCCATTACCCCCGTGCCACGGCCCGCTAAAGACGAGGGGGTGGATGTGGAAGAGGAGGAGGAGGAGGACGGTACCCGTAAAGACGTTTTTAAAACCCGGGAGCGCCAGCGGTGGCCGTTGATCATCGATCGTGTGATCATGCGATAAGTTTGATCTGATCGTGCGGTGGGTTTGGATTCAGCATGGTAGTCATCGCATCGGGCATGCGATCTTATCACGTGTTCCAGGATTGGTCGGATTTGGGCGGCATTGTTGCTGAACATTGTCTGGCTGCTGAATTTCCCAAGCCCAGCGGGCGCAGGTGCACACCGTCTAGAGCTTCGTCGCCGCAAGTCACGGGTGATACTGAGTAGGAGGAGGAGGAGGCGGAGGAGGAGGAGGAGGGGGACGAGGAGGCAAGTCAGTTTGGTTCTGCCCAGAGAGTCCAGCCCATGCTTTCCGGCCTCGCGCAAGCCACCCGCGCGTGATGTGGGCAGCCAGCCGCGCCAGCAGGCTGCGGCAGCCGTCACGACTGCAGCAGGTTGCGAGATACGGCACGCTTTCTCCACCAGGAGTTCGTGACACTGCCAACAGCGCTCTTCAAAGGGCGCTGGTGCGGAAGGTGGTCGGGGTGGCCAGTGTGCTGGCGATCCTGGCCTTGCACCACTCCGCAGAGCAGACGGCGCATCAGACATTCGGCACCGTGCGGGCGAGCTGGCCAAGAGAGGGGCGCCGTGGCAAGTCCCCCGTAAACGCACAGCCAACGTCACAAAGACCATCAGGCGCGGTGCCTATGTGCCGATGTGGGCACGAGGTAATTGGACGAGTCTCTGGTGAGCGAATCAGCGCGGAGCAAAGAGGGCTCACCAGCAGTCACAAGTGAAGCAGCTACAAGGGTCGACAATGCAGTCCCAGAGTGCCGAACAGAAAGTCCAGCTTTAGGACCTCGGAATGACATAGGGCAGCGCACGCCCCGCAAGTCCCAGAAAGCGGAACGGAACGAAAGGCAGACGCCGATGCGACTGATAATCACGCCGTTGCCTACGATCGTCAGAGCGCAGGACGAGTGCGGAAAAGGCTCCAGTCTGGCCGCACATGTATGGGTGGATTGCCTCTCTTTTTTGTTTTCTTACCACCGCCACCAGAGGCAGCACATGGATGAAGAGATCATCAGTCAGCCACGCTGCGCGATGACATTTGCGATCGCATCTGCGTGCTTAAGAGAAGTTATCCAAATTGCAAGTGAGGGCGCATCGGCGGATAACGAAGCTTTACCAACGCGGGCGAGTGAGACTGTAATGGCAGTTTGACCTTTCCGAGACGCATCTTGGCTGCAAGCCGAGGTGTTTGGTGCGATTTTGCTGAGCTGAGTGTCGAGATCCCCGAGGTCAGCGCGAGGACCCCCCTTGGAATCTGGATCCCAGCCGACAGCTAAGGGCGGGGGACGAGCCGCACATGTCCGAGTCGGGAGGAGTCTATCCACCAGGCGACTGTGCAGACAATCCAGGCAGTAGCGGACAATGCGGAACCAATGCAGCACCTGGGCTAGCGCAGGTGGGTTCCAAGCAGGTTGCACAGAAGGGATTGAGGATGATGTTTGGGGGGGCGACCGAGGACGGAGGAGGAAAGAGGCGGGAGACAGGAAAGGTGAGGGAGTATGGGTAGTGAAGGATAGGGAGGAGGGACAAGGGACGAGAGGGGAGGAGGGGGAGGAAGGGGACAGGTAGGAGGGGGAGGGGGAGGGCGGTATAGGCAACGGGGAACGGAGATAGAGGGGAGGATAGGGAGCACAGGGGAAGGCGGGGAAGGGGTGAGGGGGACGGGGAGAAGGAGGAGCAGCACAGAGAGAGAGAGAGAGAGAGAGCGAGAGAGGAGGGGGGGTGAAACGCACAAGCGGGCTGAGAAGGCGGGGGACGGATATGGGTGGAGGGTGGAGAGGAGAAAACGAGAGCGAACAGAAGGACATGGGGAGGGCCATGCTGTCACCGGACGCCATCTCTTCCGACGCAGGAGGACGAGGTGGAGCGAGATAAGATTGCCGGTGCAGGGCAGGGTGGGGGAGGGGTTTTTGGAAGGGAGGAGGAGGAGGAGGGGGAGGAGGAGGAGGAGGAGGAGGAGGAGGAGGAGGAGGAGGAAAACGAGGAGGAGGAGAAAGAGGAGGAGGAGGAGAAGGAGGAGCACGCGGAGGAGGAGGAGGAGGAGGAGGAGGAGGAAGAAGAGGGTCCGTAGCCATTTGGGCTCAAGCAAGTTTGGCTCAAGCCATTTTGGTTCAAGGAACGGCGGGGCCGTCGCCGCTTCCTCGGTCGCCCCATCGGCCGTGGCTCGCGCGCTGGCCATCAAAGAACAAAGGAGAAGCACAATAGTAATAGTAATAATCAGGATGCTATCAATAAGCAGAAAAAAAAGAAACAGCTGAAGAAGGCCGCCGCGACCGCGGCCAGGACTCTAAAGACGCCCGTGGGGCGGGAGGAGTCTTGGCATCGTCGCCTACGTTCCCAAAAGGGACAGGATCGGTTTTTGATTCGCGCTGTGGCCGCCGCCAATCGCCTCAACGGCCACCACAGTGCTCAGGAGCCTCAGTTCCAGCAGGTTGACGTGGCGCAGAAAAGGACAATGGCAGCATCGAGGAAGCTCGAGGGGAAGGTGGTCAGGAGTAGGGACGACACACCTCGGGCCCCGCTCGAGCGGAACTGGAAAAAAAGGTGGTCAGGAGCAGGGATCACACGCCCAATCTCCGCCAGGGGATCTGGGGAAACGTGGTCAGGAGCAGGGACCACGCACCCAGGCCCCGCAGTTGGTGTTCAGCCTTGGCCATGGAGGGAAGAAAGAAAATCCACATCAAGAAAGAGAAGCAGCATCAAAACCCACAACTACGTCAATGGCGCCAGCGTGTACATCGCCGACTGTGCATTCATAGAGAAGCAGCAGCCCATCGTTGACGAGGCGAAAGTAGCCACACTCGAAGAGGCGAAACTGCATGAAACATTCGCCTTCCCACCCGGCGACCGCGACATGAAGATGCGAACACTGCAGCAACAAATCGGGAGGATAGCCGACCGGGCGCAAAGAGCCAAAGCTGCAGTAATCGACGAAAACATCCAACATCAAGTGCGCGCTCGCCCTGACGACCGCTCCCGATCAAAGAATCAGAGGATACAGATCGCAGCTGGACGCCGCTACCAAGGAGCAGAAGGAAACCAACGAACAGATCAAGCAGCTCGCAGTCAATTGCGGCAAAAATACCACGCACATCCAGCGGTCCAAAGACCGAACCATGGTTGCCAAGAGCGAGATCGCCGCCTACGCCGACACTGGCAGTGAGGCCGATCAAGATGAAGAAGAAGAAGAACATGCAGCAAGGATAACAGCTACGCCATACAGGACACGGAGCCGAGAGCCCTTCAGACGCCGAGGGTCATCCTTACCGCCCCAGCGAAGTGGCCCCGAATCAGCTACGACGAGCCACGCAGAAGCGCTCAGAGCCAACGAACTTCGCGAACCAGAGGTTCAGAACGCCAGCCTGAGGAGGACCAACGCCGAGCTCAAAGAGAGGGCCAAACTATATGAGGAGGAGATGGAGGTGACCAACGAGCGCGCCGGAAGCACGTCCGTCAGGTACGACAGAATACTAGCCTGGCGAAGGACCCAACCATGTGCATATGTGAGTGCCGCAGTTGCAAGTATCATCTTCGGTGGCGCTACATATGGGACCACGAACCGCGCAACGGGCGCGCCGGCATGGGCGGCGGGCCACACGACGCGAACGAAGACGGCAGGTCGAAGCACGAGAGATTGAGCGCGCGTGAGTCTGATCGAGAGTGAGTCTGATTGTGAGCGAGTCTGCACGCGAGCGAGTCTATGTACCTGAATGCGAGTTGCCGAAATGGGGCGGCGGTGCCATGCGGACATTCCCGCTGGGGCCTTCGGTGGAGCTCCCTATGGGGCCGCGAAACGAGTGGGGGGCGTGCCGAAGTCGGGCGGCGGTGCGCCGAAATGGGGCGGCGGCGCAATGCGCCCCCCCCCCCCCCGGCCCTTCGGCGGAGCTCCCTATGGGGCCGCGAAGCGCGTGGGGGGCGTGCCGACATGGGGCGGCGGTGCCACGCGGACACTCCCGCTGGGGCTTCTTGTGGAGATCCGCCTTCGGTGGGGCCCCCTGTGGGGCTGCGAAACGCGCGGGAGGTGCGCCGAACTGGGGCGGCGGTGCCACGCGGGCGCGGAGCCCCTTTGGGGCCGCGAAGCGTGCGAAGGGGCGTGCCGAAATGGGGCGGCGGCGCCACGCGAGCTTCATATGGGGTCGCGAAACATGTAAGGGGCGTGCCGAAATTGGGCGGCGGCGCCATGCAAACCCCCCCGCTGGGGTCGTCTTCGGAGCTTCCTATGGGGCCACGAAGCGTGTGAGGGGTGTGCCGACATGAGGCGGCGGCGCCATGCGGGCCCTCCCGCTTGGGCCCCGGGTGGAGATCCCTATGGGGGCCCGCGGAACGTGCGCGGGGTGTGCCGAAATGCGGCGGCGGTGCCATGCGCCCCCCCCAATCGGTGGAGCTCCCAGATAGGGCCGCGAACCGTGCGAGGGGCGCGCCGAAATGGAGCGGCGGTGCCGCGCGCGCCCTCAGGAGGAGGGGGGGGGGGGGGGGCGAGTTAGTGAGACGCGGGGCGCTGTCTCTTCAAAACGAAGGCCCAACGCCGCGGGGCGGTTGGGAATGCGAGACCGCGAAGACGCCGTACCTCAGGGGTCGCCGCGCTCGACGCTGGCGGCCAACGGGAAGAGCGAAGACACATTCGCGCGGCACTGTAAAACTCATGGAAGAGAGCGCCACTTGATCCGCGAGAAGTACTAGCAGAAGCTAGCGCGACAAGCTGCAGATGCCGCGCAAGAGGCGGCGCAGCGGATCATCGAAGCATGCGAGGCGGGCGAGTTCAAGATTCAGCGCCCACAGAACGAAAGCAGACGCCTCGAAGAA